TGTTTGGGCCCCCCCAGACAACGGGCGGGGGCCGAGCCGGGGCCCCCCGGGGTGCAGCTCTTATTGCTACTGAACTGGGGGTCCCCTCGGCCCACCCATCCTACTGGGGCTGGGGCTACCTGGACACCTGGGACCGGGGTCCCCAGGGTGGAGCCGCCCCGGGGGGCTCAGACCTTGGGGGGTGGAGGTGGCCCCGGGCAGCGGGGTCCCTTGCCTGCCCCAAGGACGTGCACACACACAGGCGGGAGGAGTAATAAATATTTACATTAACAATAAGTTAAAACTACAAGAAGCTGCAAACGGGCACGACACGATGCAACTCAAAAAGCCGGACCCAGGAGGGGCAGAGGGTCCCAGGGCTGGGAAAAGCCAGCGAAGAATCAGAAACACATAGGAACTGAAACCACTGAAAAGCAAGAAATTATCCCGACGGAGAAGAGAAAATAAATAATAATAGCAATAGTAATAATAACGACAACAACAATAATTAATAATAATAATAATAATAATAATAATAATAATAATAATAATAATAATAATAATAATAATAATAAGGATGGGGCTGCTAAGAGGGGACTCAGCCTGTTGGGAGGGCTGGGGTTTCGGGGGCTTTTCTGCCCTTTTCTTTGGCCAGGATGCTAGAACTGACCAAGCAAAAGCAGCCGCCTCAGCGAGCTGAGGAGGTTGGGGAAAAAAAATGCCCGTTTTGGGGTATTTGGAGAAGGGGGGGACAGGGCAGTGTGGACAAGACCCGCCCCTGCCCCGTTTTGGGGGTGCTGGAGGCTCGGGGGCAGCGGGACACCCTGACAGCCTCGACCTCATAGCACTTGAGTGCCATCGACCCCCACGAAAATGTGCTGTGCCTGTGCTTGGGGATCACGACCTGCAGCCCTGCCTCCAAGCAACCAGGGCAGGGGCACATAACAGATTCCCACCCCCTGCAACTTCCCTCCAGCGGGGCGGTTTTGGGGGGACATCAGGGGATATTTTTTTTTTAAATTTTTTTTTTTCTTCTCTTACAAAAATAGATGGTTTTGTGTCTGTCGCTCCAGAGGAGTCACCGCTTGCTGTGTCGGTCTCTCTCCTCGCTACCGTTAGCGCTACCATTATTGTTATTATTCATTATTGTTTGTTCTTTCTCCCCCAAAAATTTCCCCCTCCCAAAAAAAGAAACAAATGGAAAAAAAGAGAAGAGAGAGCAGACATCCCCCCAGACTCCTGGACCGGAGGGGAGGGGGGGGCACGGCCCCCACTTGGCACCAGCCTAGGGACAAAATGAGCCGAATCGGGTGCACTGGTGCGCTCCCAAACCTGCTGTGGTGTGTTAACTGAACCTCTGATTAGATTTAATCCAAACAACTAATCTGTTAAAGGGTCCTGAATAAATAGGCGATATGGCCAGGCCAGGGTATTATTTCAGCCCAAGACGACAACTGATGAGGAGGTCAGCCAATTACACACTAAAAACGTTCAGTAATCTGCTGCAGGTCAGGTAGGTTTACAGCGACCCAGCCTAAATACTGCATGTATGCCTGCGGGTGTCGTGCACGGCGGAGCATCGAGCAGGGGAGGCAGGAGGAAGATCTCTCACGTTTTAGAAATAAAAGCCTGTAGCCAGATGTTTGTGAGATCTGTACTTGTTTGTAATACGGCAACGTGTAAAATCTTCAGCTCCTTGCATGTGGAATCTAGATCAATTTTTAATTTACTTGTACGCATGGATGACTCATTTGAAAAAGAAAATTGTGGCATCAAAAAAAAGGCATTTCAGCGTGCATAGGTTGCTGCATTTATCTGTTTCTCATGCACTCCGGAATGGAAATAAGTCACAGCATCTTAATAATGGTCTTGATTTTATAAATGATTTTTCCCCTTGAAATAAGCAATCCATTCATTTTAATATGTAGAATTGGTTTGCTAGCAGGGCGACAGTTTAAAAAGACTTCCAACTGTGACACAAGTGCAACCATATTGCTTCCTATTACTCGCTAAGGTAGTTGTTTAGAAGAGAGAATGTTCTCCCTGGAAATGTTTGAAGTGCTGTAATTTTATTTAGGATAATGAGGATTTATAACAGTTTTACCATATGAAAACCTGCCTTTAGACAGAGCGAAATAGGCGGTTGCGGGGGGGGGGGGGGGGGGGGGGGGGGGAAAAGGGGGGGGGAGGGGGGGTCCCCCCACACCACAGTCTCCAGGGTATCCTTGAGGTGTCCCCATGGTGTCCTTGGTGCCCATGGAGGGGGTCCCCAGGTGTCCAGGGGGGTTCTCCATGGTCTCCAGGGTCTCCTTGGTGCTCATGGGGATCCCTGTGGCCTGGTGGTGCCAGGGGACCCGGTCCAGGGGGCTAGTGGGGCAGGGCTCAGGCTTTGTGCTGTTTGCTGGTCTTGAAGGAGACTTGGAGCACGCGGTCACCCAGGCGGTAGCCATTGAGGCTGGCGATGGCCATGGCCGCCTCCTCATAGTTGGTCATGGTGACGAAGCCGAAGCCCTTGCACTTGTTGGTGGCGAAGTCGCGGATGACCTTGACGTTGGTGACAGCACCGAAGGGCCCAAAGAGCTGCCAGAGGACGCTCTCATCCGCCTCGGGCGCCAGGTTGTAGACGAAGATGCACCAGCCAGCGCCGGGGGCCCCCAGGCCCACCCCAGCCAGCCCTGGCACTGCCTCAATGGCCAGTGGGGAGAACCTGGGCAGCAGCGACAGCGGGCTGGCCTGGGGTCAGGGCGCCCGGACGCCGGGTTCCCCCCCCAGGACACATGGGTTCCCTCCTGCCAGGGTCCCCAGCCCGTGCACGGGGCTGGGGGTGCAGAGCTGGACTAGGGGGGGTTGGGGGGGTGGGGAGGGACCGTTACCTCTTCACGCCGTAGGCCACATTCAGCAAATTGTCAAGCCTGGAGGGGACAAGAGGCCATTAGGGGGACACGGGGGTGTGCCCACGTAGGTGTCCCACACCTGTGGTGGCCCCATTCCCTGGGGAGCATTCACATGGTGCTGGGCATGTCCCACGCTCTGTGGTGGCCCCATCTCCCGGGGCGCCCCGTTCCCAGGGATGTCCCACCCCCGGGGCACGCGGGCACATTGGGCTCACCGGAAGCGCTGGGGCGGGTGGTGCAGGGCACCGTAGCGGCGGGCACTGGGGCAGAGGCTGAGCAGGGCCCCCCCTGACTTCTGGCCCGGGCTGTTGGCAAACTTGACGGTGATGGGCTCGGCGGCACCCAGCGGTTTCTGCCCATGCAGCCCCCGGACGGCCTCCTCTGCCTCCACGCGCTTGTCGAACCGGATGAAGCCCACCCCCCGCGAGACACCTGCGTGTGGGGCATCCAGGGAACAGAGCCCTGAGACTCTGCCGCACAGCCGCGGGACCCTCCCCTCCACAGACCCACCCACAGGACTGAGGCATCCAGGGAATTTCCCCCCACAGACACACCCATGGGACCCATGTGTCCGAGGAATTCCCTCCCAGACACCCCACTGCCCACCCATAGGACCCAGGCATCCGGGAAACATTCTCCCACCCCACAGACCCTACTAGGAACCCAGGCGTCTTGGCAGCCCCCCTTCCCCTGGGGGACTCAGGCACCTGGGCGCACCTGTGACCTGGTCGACGAGGATGCGGGAGGTGATGATGCGGCCGTACTGGGAGAAGAGCTGCTCCATCTCCTTCTGCCCCATGGCCTTGGGGAGGCCGCTCACGTAGAGGTTGGCATCACGGATGGAAGCAGAGCTGGGCCGGGCATAGGACACCTGGGGGGGGTGGGTCAGCCCTGGGGAGCTAGGTGTCCAGGTGCCAGAGCTGCCTTCCAGCCACGGGCTCCCCCTCTCAGGGACCCAGGCATCTGCCCCACCCCGCCAAGGATCCCCCTAGCATCACCCACAGAGTGACGCCCCGCTGCCCA